TACTTTTATTTGACTGCCAAAACATGTTTTAGTCTTTTCACCGTTTTTCAATACTTTTTTATATATAATTTTAATGCTAAATAATATCCTAAGAACATTTTAACTTCTTAAATTATCTTTATATAACTACGGATTTCAATTTGGGTTTATTTCAGTTGTATCCCCTAAATTATTGTCATAATTTTTTTATTTAGATATTAAACTGTTTTTCAATACTTTTTTTTATGTAATTTTAATGTTAAATAATATCCTAAGAACATTTTAACTTCTTAAATTATTTTTATATACCTACGGATTTCAATTTGGGTTTATTTTAGTTGTATCCCCTAAATTATTTTCATATTTTTTATTTAAATATTAAACTATTAATTTTAAGGGTAAATTACAAATACACCTCCTGAAGTCTGATTAAAATACAAATTGTCCCTGTGGTTCTGGAAATTATATTTCACCCTATGAGGTTTCCAATTTCATAACAAATCGTCCTTTTATTAATAAAATATCAAGTCAATTAATAATTTTTAATAATGTTACAAATATGTTTCAATTCATAATTTACGTAATTTTATTATTGTATAGGAGAGCAATTATGAATTTTATTTTTTTAGTTAATTCTGTTAAATAAAAAATTCTAACAAGAGGATATTTGTAATTTTTTAAACCACATCGAGCAATCTATACTTTAAACAAAACTCAAGGGGTGTATTTGTACTTTATCCTAATTTTTTTATATATTTAGTTTTTAAATTTTTAGTTTTAGCTAATATGGTTCAATTGAAAATGTAACTATTAAAATTTAATTTAAAAAAAAATCAATTTAAAAGTATGAATAATTTACTCCTGGATAAATTACACATAGACCACTTGAGATTTGTTTGAAATACGATTTATCCTCAGTGGTTCTTAAAATTACATTACACTGTTTTAAATTTTTAATTTCATAACAAATGGCCCATTTTTATTAATAAATTATCCACTCAATTAACAGTTTTTAATAATGTTAGAAATTTATTTAATTTAATAATTCAAGTAATTTTATCATTATATAGGAGAACGGTTAGAATTTTTTTTTATTAATTATGTTAAATAAAAAATTCTGACAAAAATTATTTGTAATTTTTTAAATTACAAAAAAAAGACAGGTGTTTGATAGCTAATATGATGTAAATAAAAATATAAGTGTGTTGGTTTAAATTATCTAAATTGTTAAACAATTTTGTCACTAGTTTTGGTGTCCACCATTATTGATTATCAATTGAGACATATTATTTCTAATTAGACCATATAAATTGAAATTAAAAATTTTAAGGATTAAATTGATAAAATTGATAGTTTAGATATAAAATAGAAAAAAATGATATTAATTTAGGCCCTGTTTGATTTCAGGAAATAAAAGGTGGGATTGGATATTGTATATTGTGAGGTCCACATATCTCATGTTTGCAATTTTTTTTTAAAGAGGATATGATATACTATGAGATTGTATATCTCCCAAAATTGGAGGATATACAATACCATCATCCCCCATTATATTATATCCCATAGGTTGGGATATGATTTAAAAAGTCCAATTTACCCTCTTGTCTATCTAATATAATATAATATAATTTTTGAATTTAATATAATATAATTATTGAATTTAATTTAATATTATTGAATATAATATAATATAATATAATATAATTTGATATAAATTTTGAATTTAATATAATATAATATTATTGAATTTAATATAATATAATATAATTTAATATAAATTTTGAATTTAATATAATATAATATTATTGAATTTAATTTAATATAATTTTTGAATTTCATATAATATAATTTTTTTTATCATTATCAGGTTAACATTAATATAATATAATTTATTTTTTGTTTGGAATATATGAATCTTTAATTTGTTCCAATAAAAAATAATATGAATTTTTAATTTGTTTATTTGCATTAGTTTCAATATGGGTATTTAAAATATATTATGATGGCAATCTTGAAAATTACTTATTTATATCTCACAATATATTTTGTAAAACAAATATGGATAATACATATCATGTCTTATAACAAACATGAATTGGATGATATATTATCCAATACATATATTTTATTTATTATATATCCTGACTAAATCTCACATCATGGTGGTGTTTGGTACAATTTTTTTAGGTTTTTTTGTTTTTTTTTTCACTAAAAGACAAATTGGTTGCAAAACCAAAAAAAAAAACAAATCCAAACAAAATATCACATCAAACCCCATAATCATTTCACTTTTTCTCTCACAAACATCACATCCAAACATCAAACCCCATAATCATTTCACTTTTTCTCTCACAAACATCACATCCAACAACAAAAAAACTCAACTATCTTCCCAAACAGAAAAAAAAATTCTCCAATAATATCCTACAACTAAAAAAACCTACAAAAAAACTCATTTCCCGAAAGGTTTTTTGGGTTTTTTGGGTTTTATTTTTGATTTTTTTCATTAAAAGACAAATTGGTTATAAAATATTAAAAAAAAAACATATCCAAACAAAATATCACATCAAATCCCATAATCATTTCACTTTTTCTCTCACAAACATCACATCCAACCACAAAAAAACCCAACTATCTTCCCAAACACAAAAAAAAAAAAAATTCTCCAATAATATTTTAAAATTAAAAAAATCTACAAAAAAACTCACTTCCCAAACACTCATATTATATCCTCCATTTTATATCCAGTAAAACAAACAATGTAGAAAATGAAATGATCATTTTAAGTTTTATAACAATAAATTTTTAAATAATTTAATGAATCAGAAAAATTATTTAATAATTTTGAATGATTTAATGAGAAAAATCATTTAAAAATTATTGACCATGAAAGTCATTCTATAAAATAAATAATATTAATTGGTGTAACAAATCCTTATTCTCTTCGTACAATGTGACAATTTTATTTAATATAAAATAAAAAAATATTATTTAAAGACGAACTTAAAATTTAAAATTTTATTAAAAATAATCTTATCACTAAAATAATATATATAATTACACACGTATCGCGTGTCACCAGCTAATTTTATATAACAAAAATGTGTAGGACCTCCTTCTTTAGGATTTCATAACTCCTAGTGCCGTTTTGGGAACCAAAATAAAAAGTCAAATTTTTGTCGAAATGTCAAAAAACGCAAGTGACAAAAATGCTACAAAATTGGTTTGGAAAGCGTAAAAAATGCAAGTGTGAAATTACAAATTGGGGCCTATGACAAAAAAATAAAAAAATAAATTTCTTATGTTGGGTAAGGGTATTTTGGTCATTTTAATTTGATTTGACACTATAAACAAATATTAAACTAAAAAAATCAAAAACCAGTTTTTTACCAACTTTCCAAATCACTTTCAAAAAAGCTAAAAAGCTTGGTAAATAGTCAAAAGCCAACTTTTACCAACTTTCCAAAATACCTTTGATTTTGGATTTTGATGTGTGTAGGGTCGATTCATATATATGTTGATCCTACATTATCAGTGATTAGAATGAAAAGTGAAAATTGTAAAGGTCATATAATATATATCTATACTATTATTAAAAGTCAACAGGAGCTTTGGTGTTCTGAAGCATCTCTAGAATTTTTTTTCTATTTTTCCTAAAATGACCATAACTTCTTAAATAATTGTATTATTTTTACACTAATATCAATTTGTAACTAAGGGTAACATGATAAATTCAAACCAACCAATTCCACCACCCCATGTTTCCAAACTACATAGCAGTTTTAAATCAGTTTCAACATCTTCCAATTTTGTTTTGAATGATGAAACCTCGGGAGAGAGAGAGAGAGAGAGAGAGAGAGAGGTCAGATTTGATGAAGTAAAGATTGGAGAATGAAAGACTTCATCAACAATGGAGATTTCATCAATATTCTTACAGATCTCAGGTCTCATTTTGATATCACTCGCTTTCTTTTACTTGGGCAAGCATTGGTCCAATGTTTCTCACCAACTCATCTTCTTCAACTCTCGCCAAACCCCTCTCCTCTTCCAAAACCCCTTCCCCCGTCTCTCTCTCCTTCAATTTGAACAAACCTTCGATCTCAACTCCCTCATCAACAACACTACCCAAACCCAAACCCAACCCCTCTCCGATCCAACCCTACCTTCAATTCCATCCACATCCCATCCAAAACCACTTCCTCCGTCGCTGCAAGAGAGGTACGGGATCGTGGACGAGAACGGAAAGATGTCGAATGATTTTGAGGTCGGAGACTTCGATCCGGGTGTTGTGGATAATTGGGGCAGTGATTTTTTTTTTTTTTCCCCTTATTCTTCAGGCATTTGAACACACTTGATGACCCTTTTAGTTCGTGCGAAATGGATGAATATAAAGAAGGCTCTTACAGAAGAGGCAGAGGTTGTGAAGCAGTTGGATGCAGATTTCAGCTTTTAAAAAGTTGGTTTGTTTATTTGTTTAATTTTGTGAGTGTAATTTTTTTTTAAAAAAAAAAACATTTTTTTAATTGGTTTGTTTGGTTGATTAATTTTGTATGGGTGTGTTTAAATTTTTTTTTTTTGGGTATGTTTTCAATAAAATTTCTTTGAGAGTATATTTTATTTTATTTGAGATAATACAGAAGTATATGAGAATGTGTATATATATCATATTAAATTCAGAAAAAAAAATTATGCAATTAAATATATAAATTAAAAAAATTAAATGAGAATGTATTAAAATTTTTATCAATTAAGTTTTCAAATGAGTATCGTGTGTATCCGACAGCTAGTATATATATATATATATATATATATAGAGGGTCATGTAGGCGTGGGTCTCCATCTCAATTATATATATAATTATATATAATTTGCAGCTTCTTTGCCCACATTTCTCGCAAGTTTGGTTCATTAAAGGTAGGTAATTTGATAATCTATCCATGACCCATCTATTCATTATTTAACTCTTTTCGCGTGTCCTTTTGTAGACTTTTTAATCGATTTCTTCACCTACAAAAGTATTCACCATCCTCGATCTTCGAAATCATGTTCTCTCTCTATAAATACACATAAATCGTTGCTGTTCTTCATCTATGTTCTCTGCATTTCTTTCTGATTTCTCTTCAATTTGACGTAGGTCTTCTTGGGTCCGGTGTGTTTGATTGAAGGGTATTTGGGTGCAGAAGATTTAGAGAGAGAGAGAGAGAGAGAGAAGAAATGGGGAGGCTGTTTGTGCTGACTCTTGAGGGCAAGATCTATAGCTGCAAGCACTGCCGAACCCATCTAGCTCTCTGTGAAGACATCGTTTCCAAGGTTGCTTTCTCTTCTCAACTTGTGATCGGTCAATGATTTCTTGTTTTCCTTTCAATCTCATGAAAATTTCTCTTATTTTTGTTCTCTGTTGACTTATGTGCTCTTTCCTTGTCACAATTTTGTATTTAATTTTCTTATTGATGATTGGATGACTGTTTTGATATGATAATTTTGTGTGTAATTCTGCCACTTAATTATGAGGAGTTAAATGAAGATTTATTGCTTTAATAGAAACAAGGGTAAGAAGATTGCATATTTTGGATAAATAGATAAAGTTTTAATTTTGAATTTTTCACCTAAATATCGGTTAACTGAGCTTAAAACTTAAAGTGGTTGTTCTTTATGGCACACAGCACACACTCTTACAAAGAATGTACAACTATTTCAAGCTGGTTAACAAGTGCCCTTAAGGCGTCAGTTAACAAAATTCTATTTGAGGATTCCAACTTCTCCTCCTAACCTAGAAAATGAAGAACCCCCAAATTTGGCCTTTTGTCCTTTGACTCTGAATTTTTCTTTAACTGATTTCCTATATGATACAATCTAGGATCTCTACCTCATGTTTTGATTATTGAGTGTTTCCAAAATTTGGATTCTATTGAGAAACATTATGCCCATAAATTGGAGCGTAATGGCCAAAACAGGATTGGTGTAGCAACCCAAAATAGTTGAATGGAGTTTAAGTATTTGTGTTATGTGTGGTAATCTTTATATAAAAAGTTGTTTCAATGTCTAAGGCAAATGAAATTATTTTGGAGGAAAATGTTGAAACCGCAGAAGTCTAAGAAGTCGTTGCAGTGTGAGTGACTCCCCTGCACCACATGGTTTTATCAAAGGAGGAGCTTTGCCACCATCTGATTCTTCTTTGATCAAGTTGGACTTGCTTGATTTTATTGGTATTGAAGGTTTTTATTACGTATTCAGTCCATGTTTGGTTGACCTTGTCAATAGTCTAACCCCAAAAATTAGGTGGAACGAGACAAAGATCAAGCAACTAGCATATTCAAAATATTTGATTCGTTGGCATAGTTGTGTTCAATATTTGGGGGAGAACTTGAGGACGAGTTCTTTTTCTCAGTTGGGGAGAATGATAAAGAACAAGCAGGAGATTTCAATCCATGGTTTTCTTTCAATCCATGATTTTAACCCATGTTTTTTTTCTCGTTTTATTTCCTATATTCTAATCTTATGCAATTAGTATTTTTTTTTTTTGTATTTCTTTTCAATTTCAATTAATTAGGTTCTTATGATTTGTTTCCTTTTAATATTATTCTCTTTTCAATTAAAGTTTTTTAGGATTCTCACAATTTATTTTCTTTTAGTATGTTTCTTAGTGATCAATAATTTTTAATTAGAATTCTCAGGATTTGTTTCCTTTTAGTATGTTTCGTAGTCATCAATAATTTTAGTTTTCTTATTTTTATTAGGGTTTCTTTTAGCCTATAAATAAAGGCTTTGACATTGGTCAGAGTTGATTAATGAATTTGAGTTGAAAAAAGCGGTGGCTTTTGTAGGGCTTTTGTTATTGAATCTTAGTTCTTTTTTTCCGGAATCATTCTCGATATTTTTTGGTTTTAAAATGAATTAAAAACAAGACGGCTAAGAAGTATGGACACGGACACGTGACACGACATGAGTACGATACGGACACGCCAACACGTTAATTTTCAAAAAATACAAGACACGACATGTGGAGGACACGCATGAAATATATAATTTTATATATTTATTATATGTTATATATATGAATATATCATTCAAAAATAATAAAAAATGTAATATGACACTAATTCTTATAAATTTATATGATTTTTGTTTTATTATTGTATCTTAAGTTATTTTGTTCAAACTTATAATTAATTTTACATATGTCTAATCGTTAGACACGTGTGTTTAAACAATTGACACGTGTGTCCTCCAAGTGTCCAAAGAGTGTCCAGGTCTTTAAAAAATAAGACATGTTTTGAAGAGTGTCCGACACGTGTCCTGAGAGTGTCCAAAGAGTGTCGGTGTCCGACACGGACACGACATGGATACGTCATCTTCTTAGAAGTGTCCATGCTTCTTAGCAGGACGGATTACCTTGCATCGTAAACATTTGGTGGATTGGGATATTGAGATTGTCGACAATTGATGTAGATCATAATTTTTTCTCCTAGTGCCTTCCCAAGAACAAAAAGTATTCTTTTGTAGTATCATTTGATCACGGTTATGGGAACTCTCAAGATTTGTGTCTATTAAACCCCCTACACATGCTTGCTTACTTCGGATATTGCACCTCTTATATGTATGCAAAAGCAGCTAATAATAATGTTTCTTGCAAGCCTACTTCTAAAGTATCACAACTGCCCCTGTCAAAAGTATGGCTTGGAAACAAACCTTCCTTCTTGTTTAGAGATTTATCTATCAAACATTGCTTTCGCAGGATTACAGAAAGGCTTTCTTGCCCAAATTAGAAAATAGTTGTATCTAAGCGTCACATATAGCCACACAAAACCAATACAATAAATGTGTATACCCATTTATCCCTTTGCAAATTAGAAGTACTTTGATATAGAAGGATATAGTTCTAAAAAAAGTGGAAAAGGCAAAGTACAGTAGTTTAGGCTACCCCAAATAGAAATAGTTCAAATTGGGCTTGCATTTTGTGACCAGTTTTTTGATGGTTTGCCATATACAAGGCCTTAGTTAATTTTTAATTTGGATTTGGTGTCAAATTTATGTTTATTGGGAGCTTTTTTGGGAAGCAAAATTTCTGACTGTATGTTTTGCCTTTGTTCTTCTGTTCAGTCCTTCCACTGCAGGCATGGGAAGGCATATCTCTTCAGTAAGGCGTAAGTTTTTCATGATTTTGGGCAAGCCATTATTATCTCTTAGTACCAAACACTTCTTCGTAAACTTTGTTTTCGATATGCAATTTCAACACTTATTGAAGCCATGAGATGCCATATATATTATGTCAACAACCGAAAAATTTACTGTTCATACACCTTTCTTTGTTCTTCCTTTTGGAATTGCAACCAGGCTACATAATAAAGACAGGAAGAAGTTCTGGCAAAGAATTGGGAGTATAAATTCCAATTTGGAATATTGAAATGCTTGTGTATCAACCTTGATATTACAATCTAGTTAAAATGGATTCTAGAGCTTTGAATTGGTGATAGTAGTTCCTTGCTTGACCAGGCTGTTTGTATCTAAATTTGATTTGTCAAATGCATGGTGGATGTGGAAGTTTGACTCCATCACTAGCTTAACTTTTTAATGCATAATCCGACATCTCCAAACATCTCTACAAGAATACTTGTACAGAAAATGAGAATAAGCTCCTTTCATCAATTTCATGTGCTGTTAAATTTTGTTGGGTAAATTACACTAACACCCCCTAAGGTTTGATTTTAATACAATTCCCTCCTTGTCATTGCAAGAATTTCACTGACCCCCTTGTCAGAAATTGTCTGTGAACGGAAGTTACAAAAAAAAAATTATAAAGACTTCAAGGGTTTGAATTTACTGTATTACCCTCTCAACGTACCCAAACATTGCAACCCCAAACGCTTTCTCATCATCTCCAAACTCTCCACCATACAAGATGTCCACCCCCAACCCTCTGAACTCCCTATACCCTCTGCCCAGTTCCACAGTCAGCAATCTCTCCCTCTTCTTCATTAATTCCGGCCACCACAACCATTACTCAACAATTGGGAACATACACAGCCTCCCTTACATTCCTCATCAAGTCCTTCATCCCAATGCCACTCCATGTTCACCGACAGTAACAATGGGGTTCATTTTTTCAGCCGCCACAGCACCACCACTCCCTCTACTATCACAACTCTTTATCTCTTTCTCACTCTCACTCTCACTCACGCTCACACATCTCTCTACTCTTGTTTGTTGTTGGTCTGGTCTGTGTGGGTTTGATTTTTAGCTGGGTTGCTGTACAAAGTGGAGGGGTTAGTGGTGGTGGACATGGGTTTTATTTTTTGTGTGGGCGTGGGGCTGTAATGGTGGGTGGTTGTAATTTTTTTGGTTCGTTGTGAGTGGTTTCGATGAGGTGGCTTGAAGATTGTAGCAAATTATGCATGTAACATGCTTGGTTCATTGCTTCAAAGAATTAATTTGTCTTGATCACAAATGGGTCTGTGTTTGTCTGCAAAATTGGATCTAAGTTTGTCTTCTTTTTTTTTTTTTTTTTTGTTAATAATGGATGAGCATTGAATTCTAGGTTTGTGATTTGGGTTTGCCATGGTTGTGCAGTCCCTGAATGAGAATTATTGTAAATGCTTTAGATGAGTTGAAGCTGGGAGCTTGATAATCTTATATAAATATATATGTACTTCATATAATCTTTGAGGTGTTGGGATCTTGATAATCTCATATATATATATATATATATATATTTTATTTTTTTTTCATTTCCTAAATCCTAATAAAGTTATATATACATATACATATATATGTTCATATGTATAGAAGCTGTGTATTCCCATCTCGATGGGGTAGTAACGGTGAAACTCAGGAAGTGTAGTTATAGTGGAGGAGGGAAGGAAGATGGAAGGAGGGCATGGTAGTTGCCGGGTGTCTTCCTTGAGAGAGAAAAAAATAATTAAATACAGTAAGAGAAATGAAATAAAGTGAGGTTAAAATTAGTATTTAAGAAAATTTAACAGCTGACAAAATAACTTCAATTAGGTCAACTAACAGTCAACAAATATAGGAGGTAATTTGTAATGTTACTTTAAATCTCTAGGAGGGGGATGTGATTTCTAGAACATGAGGGGGTATTTGTATTAAAGTTAAACCTCAAGGGGTGTGAGTGTAATTTACTCAAATTTTTTTGTAAAACCTTAGCATTCCTCTCAAATATCACTGAATATTAACATTTTTGCAGCTGTGGGATGTGATTCCTTAGCTTGCAGTCTATGCTTCCATTCAAAGATAAATACTTACCAGTGTGGTTTGGCGCCAAGGAATTTACTCTTTTATTGTTTTAGAATGTTGCTATTTTAAATCTTTAATTGCTTATTATGTGACAAAGTATGTTGCCTTTTAGCTGTCTTAAAGCATTCACCTGTCAGTCCCATTCTTCATTTCTTGTATGTTCAAATGCATATGAACATAACAGCAGAGAAGAATATGATTGGGCAAATCCGGTTGTCTAAATTCTGTAACAAAATGAGGAATTGGAGAGTTGAGGATGCATTGGATTGTCTTGCCAAATTTTGTGCTCTTTTGGACATACTAAGGGTCTGTTTGGTGCAACTTCTACCAAGTTGAAAGCTAATAATAAAAAAGCATAAGCCAAAAGCACTTCTTCCCCTGCTTCCCAATAATCAACTTATTTAAGTTATTTCTGCTTCACAAGTTAGCAGAAGCTGCACATATTTTTAAAATAAAAGCTGATCCATAAGTTGCACCAAACATCCCCTCGTCGTTGATATTGTTCATAGACATGTCAATGTAATTATGTTTTATATGCCTCTTATTTCTGACAGAGTGAATGTCACTGTTGGTGAGACGGAAGAAAGAATGATGACAACTGGATTGCACACTGTTGCTGACATTTTCTGCGTAGGGTGCGGATCAATTGTGGGATGGAAATATGTAAGAGCACGGGGGATGGAAATATCTACATAGTTTTGTCAATTGTGCTTGTTAGTTACTTTTACATTTTGATTTTCAGGAGACTGCCCATGAGAAGGGCCAGAAGTACAAGGAAGGAAAATCTGTTCTTGAGCGGTTAGTAGATAACTATGTTATGGGTCTGGGAAAAAGAAAAATATTTTTTTTAAACTTTCATATGGAAATAAATGATGCACTATTTCTACTATTAATGTAAGTTTTGTTTGAGAGAATTTTTATTTTTTATTTTTTCCATTGAACAGGTATAAGATTTCAGGCCCCGATGGAAGCAACTACTGGGTCAGCCATGAAGCACATGTGGGCGGAAGTGATGCAGATGATGTTTGATTATGCTTTCGTTCCAATTTGTGCATTCTTAATCCCCCAGTTTCCTTTATTTGACTTGTGGATTGCTGAATTGGTAATTTCTCATTTCGGCAGCTTAGCTTCACTTAGTTGCCGAAATAACAAGTACCAAAACCTACATTGTTCATACTGATTTACTGAACATACAAACTTATGCTAAAACATTTATTCTTCTAATTTTAGTGTACAATGTTTGCATGAAATTGTCTCTCTATATGGATAACTGAATCCTAATAAATGAAATTTCTGTGTTCTACAAGTCGGGAGATTGCAGAAGCTTTTTGCCTACTCAAAGCATATCCAATAGTCTGTTTAACCAAAATAAATAAGGGGTTGTTTAGGGTGTCCTAAATAAGTGCATTTTTTGACTTTTTATGAAATATGGGTCGAGTATGGATTGAGTTTGAAATGATGTGATAGAGAGGTGATGCGACTTAAATAAGATGATGTGACTTAAATAGGATAGTGACTTTTTAACTTTTTGAATTTTTTTGAGGATGCCAAACTTGGCCTAAATAAAATAAATTCAAATGGTCTGCTCTATCACCTTTTAAATTTTGATAATTGTTAATATTTTATTTTATTTTTTGATCGGCGAAAGTTGGTTGTTAGATTAACATTTATCGGAGTTAGCTTCTCCATCCATAGCAATTTGCAAAGCCACCAAGTGTTTGCTTCCCTAATTCAATGAGGAAAATAGAAGAAACAACATTTGCATTACTAGAGAAGAATTGTCAAATTATACTAATTTTTTAGGACTTCAGCATGCCAAAATAAAGGTTTAGCATTGTCAAAATGGAAAAAATACTAGAGATGCTCTCATTGATCAATTGCACTCTGATGTGTATTGTTCTTAGACTTGCTGAGCTTGTGTTTGGTTCATATTTGCATATGAAAAACAGAAGAAAAATAAAATAACTGCTGTGGATTGATTCCCCTTTGAGTGAAGGATTGAATTCTCATTTTCATTTGGTAATGAATGTACTTCGTAGTTATTTTGTTTTTCGTAATGAATTAATTAGTTGTTTTTTTTCATATGAATTTTCTTGTTTAAATCTTTATTTTGAATTGTACAACATATGTTTCCTACATTACCAGTAATATGTAGAAGTATCGATGTAATTACATAGAAAAAGGAAAAAACTGAATGGAAACTAAACATAGCCTCTTTTTTTTTTTTTTTTTTTAATACAAATTTCTATTCAATTCTTTTCTTTTCTTCTCATAAATCAAAGATCTAAACATAGCTTTGATAGATTTGCTCACACTCCCCTTTGCATTAGTTCAAGTATAGTGCTATGCAAAGATTGAGAATCTAACTTATTCTACAAAAATGTGACTTGCATCCTATCTCTGCTCTGTCAAGAAATGTACATTTGGAAATTAAACACTTCACTATCCAAAAAGGAAAAAATAATTCAGAAAAAGAATAGGTGCCAAAGTTGAACTAAATGTTCAATAGTCAACTAAGCCATCATCACCAACTGGATTAGTTATGGAGGTTTGAGCTGTCAGTTTTGGAAGACTGACGATGTCAAGACATTTAACCTCAAACAAACAAAATCCCTTTTTTCTTTCCTTCTTGGTTCACACAGGATGAACAAAATATCGGCCAGGACCGGACTCCACAACATTTGATACCAGAATATCGTAATACATTACTTTGTTTTTTTGGATTATGACGTTTAAATTGAGTGACTTCTCTCTAGTTCATATTCAGAGTAGATAGTTTAATTTAAAACCTAGGAGGAAGGATTAAAACCATCCTTCACTAGAAAGAAAAATCAATCCTAGAAGAAATATAGATGCGTTTTTTCAATCTTTCTGAATTGCTCTTGGGTTCCTCTTGGCAATCTAAGCTTTGTGAAGAACAATACAATTCAAAGGCGACAAGAAGTCAAGGAAAGTCTTCATCTTATTAATAATTTTCAATTAAATTCAGTTTTAAAATTCAAAATATATATTTATATATATATATATATATATCCGGCACCAAAATAAACATCAGGATTACATTTCGTAACTCTCTTTCCATGAAAGTGAAAAACTAAAAGCATGTTTAATGAGTTGAATGCCATAAACTTGTTTGGCAACAACTTTGAATCTTTTTTAGGATTTTAGGCTGCTACCCCCCTTAGGGGTTGTTTGGGATGATCTAAATAAGTATACTTTTTGACTTTTTATGAAATATAGATTGGGTTTGGATTGAGTTTGAAGTGATGTGTTAAAGAGGTGATGTGACTTAAATAAGATGATGTGACTTAAATAGAATAGTGACTTTTTGACTTTTTGTCTTTTTTCAAGTATGCCAAACTTGGCCTCAAAAAAAATGTTTTTCTAAAAAATTACAGATAAAAACAAAAAAACACCGCAGTTAAAATGTTGAATAAAGTTGCCATACAAACCTAAATACAGATCTCCACAAAAGAGTGAAAAAAAAAATAACAAAAACAAACAAACAAACAAACAACTGCTTCCAAAATTTTTGAACTGAAAGATATTGGCTTATATAATATAATTAACAATGAACCAGTACAACAATTTACATCAAGCAGGCAGTTTACCCATGAGACGATTATTATGGCAAAATTCTTGAGCTGATAAATTCAAGGTTCCAAACAACTCTGTAACAGCTACATTTGGGTTTCAATTCGATCATTAGATATAACTCACTCACGGCATAAATATTGAATTCAAATGGTGGAATACAAGTCTTATTTGAGATTTAGTTCCGACAAACCTTCGTATATGATTGTCAAGTCATCCGAGTGAATAAACCATTTGCTCAGACAGCTCTGCACCCACAGCCCTCATGTATCTGTGCAACTGGGTTTCCAAGTAATTCCTTCCAGTGGGACCAAAAGCATGCTGTAGATCCTTCAAAAAAAAACAAAAAACAAAAACAAAAACAAAAAAGGAATGAAGTTGCACCAAACATCATTTGCTTACATTTCCAACTCTTTCCACGGAAGCCACAACAAACAAAATCTAATCAAGGACACTTGAAACTTTACTTTCTTGTATTTGGGAGACACCTATGCAGATGGATGATCAAGTGTAACAATGGCAGTAGTTTAGGCACAGGGCAATTAGGGAGAAAAAAAGCGAGGAAATATAGCAAATAAAATTGAAAAACTCAACCAACAATTATCTTTTGTTTGTATATTTTTTGGCTTCCCTTCCAATTTCTTTAACAACCTGACTAAATCTTTAAATTCATATTAATGTGCGAGAACAAGTTACAGTAAATTTGGTACGAGGAAAAACTAATTAAAAGGGAAAGGAAGAGAACAAGGTTCATAGGAAAGGGAAAGGAGAAAGGAAGAGTAAAAGAGTCCCACCCCTCCTAATATTCAAAAAAATTAACAGCCCTTTTTTGTCCAGCTCAACGAGACACAGACACATGCAAATTTTCAAAAAATGAAGGACATGACACGATGGGGACACTGTCAAATATTTTTTTTCTCATCAAATTATCAACCAGCTACTCCGGTGAAAATTAAATAAATAAATGGGACAGCATGTGGTTCCAATGTGTCCAACACATCTTCTAGTGTGTCTATCTAGCACATGTCCGGAACATGTCCAACACATGTCCGACACTAGTACATGACCTCTAGAGAGATGTCTGTGCTTCACAGAGCTCAACTAAACACATTCCGTCTTTATTTCTTTTTACCTTTTCTACATTGCCCTTCTTGTCAGTTTTGCATCCTTCCAACCACATGGAGCATGAGCTTATCAACAAAATACATGAATTCACATTCTGAACTAAATAAATAATTAAACACATCCAAAGTATGCACCCACATTACGTATACGTACCTTATATCTCAGGCGAGATCCCTTTAACCCAATCAAAATATTACTAACACTTCCGTATACATCCACTGGAATCAAACCACTGGATTCTGAGCCTGAGTCATCATCAGAATCTTCAAAATCAAGTTCACCCATTTCTTCGTCTTCATCAATAGGAATATCATTCTCCTCTTCTTGGCTAGGATCATCAAGCTGCAGTTCTATACTGTTTTCAAGCACCTTAGGTGCTGGCAACTCTCCATTCGGTAAAGTGGCAAAATCAGATAAGATCACATATGGTTTCCTATCAAGCAAAGGCCTTGCAATATCAAACGGCACCCACCTGCAGAAAAAATAATGCACTTGTCAGAAAAGAGCCAAAGTAGTATGAAGCCTGTGATGGTCCCAACCTTAAAATTAATCAAATTAAAATAAACTAAATTAGTAAGCTGGAGAGTGAAATTTGACTAGAAGTATGTAAATTTTTGGCATCGTCAATGAAAACTGGGACTGGAAGCACTGAATATCAAGACAAATGACTGATGAGCTAAAGCTGAAGTGGGCCTGAAAAAAGAAAAAGAAAAAGAAAAAGAAAAACACACTTCTGTTTCTGGTAAATTTACTTATTTAAACCAAAAATCAGATATAAAAACTCAAGCTGATTGCTCTTGATTTATGTGATGCTCACTCCCATTGAAAATTAGACAGTCTGAAGTCCAGAGCATTACAGTTCACCACCTTTTAAACTTATTTGCAAATCCTTCCTCTCTATTTGCTTAGAAACTTTAATCTTCCGGCAATGAGCCATCATCAATCAAAATCTTTCCAAAGTAGAAAGTCTATTTAGTTGGGAATCTTTCTGAACTTTGGGCTATATAAATTTAGAGAGGTACCTCATCAATCACACTCTCAGGTCATAAATTTGGTAGGCAGAATGTAATTACAAGACCAGTTGATCACAAGTGGAAAGCTGGGCCTCATAAATTAGGGAGTGAGTTCATCACATGAATCAATAAATCCCTGAAATAGCAGACTCGTAGGATTTCAAAAGTGGAAGTTGATTGTTGGTTTTATTCCATACTCGTGAACTTGATTCATTCAATTCTTAATTCCATAATATAAAATCTGAACTCCACCAACGATGATAACATTTGGCATTGACAATCCCCTTCATGGGGCTATCTTGTGGTAAACATAAACAACTAAACATGGCAAACCACAGTAATTTGAAACTCAGGAGCAAGTTGCTATACATCTACCATATACTTGGCACCAAAACCACCGTGACATTAAAATAGAATAGCCATAAATTTTACACCCCAGCAAATATGTTGGTCAGTTGTATAATACATATAGAGAACTTACTGGTAACGAAGAGGACAGAGAAGCTCAGCCGGGCGATATGATGCTTTATATCTCATCTTGCTGCAGGAGTGAATGTAATAGCCAAGATAATAATACTCAAGGCTAGGACAATGGACTTGACTCTCTTTAACCCAATCTATTTCTTGCAAGGCTGAATACTTGCCTAGTGATAAGAAAGCAAAGTCTGGGTCCCAGAACAGATATTTACTTGACAAACATTTAGGGAGGATATCAATCACACCAACTGCAACTAGCCGGCCATCAATCACATATTGCTGATGGAAAGAACCAAAGCCACAAGGAGGAACTGTACTGTCTCCAGTTGGCGGGACAAATACTAAGGGAGTGTCAACTAAAAACATCCTATACGAGCTTTCTGTGACATGATCTGGTGTATCATTATGCACCTTAATCTGGTATCTCCTATACAAGGAAAATTCTTCAGGATCAAAACTGGACCTGTTCAAACGTATCTCAAGCCTCCGCCTTTTTCCCTGAGGACATTTAGAGATCTTCGAACACCTCTCTTTACTTCCACTTCCTGTAGGAGACTCTTTAGAGACGGGATCTCTTTCAACCATTTCATCCAACCAATCTTGTTTTTTAGAAGAATAGAAATTTATGTGCCCATTGCAAGCTCTGATTGACAGACCAGAGTTTTCTGCCAACTGATTCAAAGAACTTGTCAGTTTTTCCGCAATTATTGTTGGAGAAAGCTCAAGAGAATGGCCATTTTTTTCTGTACTTTCTCTTGATAACTTCAAATAGTCATCCTTCTCTACCCGCTTTAAAGCAGCTGCAATTTGAAAGGAAATACTGCTGGAGAACAGGAGATCTTCAGATCCTTCAACTAGTAACTTCCTTTTGGCTGGTGCAACTTTTTTGATAGTAGCTTTTGGTAATTGAATATCACAACGAAACTCTCCACTTCCAACAAATGCATGTACTGCATTATCAATTTGGTTTGACAAATGATGCATAAAATTTTCAGCTTTATTCTTTTCTTTGTTTTTACCTGCCAATGATTCCTTCGCTGCTGAGCTAGTAATTTCATTAGGGGCACAGCTGCATGAACCCTTAGATGTATTTGGCTCATCTGTGAACTCATCTCTCTTTTTCACATCCAATATGCCATCTAGAAACCTATTAGTTACTTCAGTTAGTACTTTTTGCACAACATCATTGTCAAAAATGCTTACATTTTTTATGCCAAATTTAACTACTCTACAATCCAATCAAGCTCACATAATAACTCTAAAAGAAGGAAGAGTTATGTTAGGAATCCCAAATAATTTATCAATTTTTTTACCAAACCTCTCACATGTGTGTGAGTGTACACATGTAGATTTGTGTGGGTCCCACACCTATGTGAGAGGTTTGGTAGAAATTTTGGTAAATTATTTGGGACCCATAGCATTTTCCAAGAAGGAAAGCGAGAAACAAATTTGGTGAATAGATTGCAATCTCCCATATAACTCTCTAAACCAAATATGACAGCATCTGAGATATCTAAGACGAATGCATTACCAAGATCAGGTCATAACTGGGCTAAGGATCTCTCCAAAACTGAAACCCCTCATAAATTTGGTGAACATAATTCTTGGGTCTAAAGAACAACCCAATTCAATGCACATTCATCAGGTGAATTAGAGTTCATATAAATGAAACCCTAGAAAATGAATATCTTCAAACACAACACTGATTATGTTTCTTTAGAAGTCTCATTTATATGTATACATCTAGGAGGAAATGACGTAGCATCTGGAAATTAGAGAAGTAATATAAAAATACCTTTCCATCCTCTTAGAAACTCGAAGTTGCTCTTTGGAAGGGATTAAATCACTTGCTTTCACACGGATTGTATACGCGGGGCAGCATGTCCTTTCCATCTCAGGTTTGTAAAGGAAACAGCCAGATCTTCTCCATCCTCTATCAAGAAGGCCTGCAATAAAGAACGGGGCAGTAATTATATGGATCCAGTGAATATGCCCACACACACACACACTCCAAAAGAAATAATAAGAAGAAAAAAAAAATGAGATGCGGTCAAATTAATAGAGAACAACAAACACATTACTTTTGCAACTGAACCCTCTGAAGGAAGAAAAAATTTACACGATATGTAACCACAGGTTGCATTATTCAAAACACCAAACAAGAATTCTATTTCCTGCGTATTATATTTCCCCGTTATGGTTCAACCTATGAAGCACGAATACTCCGAAATGGCCCCCCGTGCGCATGTCAGATACGGATACTCGTCCGATACGGCGGGATACATATCAGATACGGCAAATAAGTATCCCATTTTTTTTTTTTTAATTTTTTGAATTTCGGATATGTTTGGGATACGCGAGGATACTTCAAGGATACGTTCGGGATACGGTGGGGCGAAAAAATAATTTTAAAAACTTGTAATGTGGGTCAAACTGTAAAATAACAAAAGTAATGTAAAACAAAACAAAAAAATCAACCAAGCAAGCCCTAGGTTCGCGAACAGCAAGGAGGAGGAGGAGGAGGAGGAGGAGGAGGAGTCGATCAGGTTCGTCCTCTTCCTCTCCCTTTCGCTCCCTCTCTCACTCGATCTCACTGTCTCTTTATCAATCTCTCCCTCTCGCTCGATTTCACTCACTTTCTCTCTCTCTCTCTCTCTCTCCCTCTCCCTCTATCGTCTCGCTCGATCTCCTGTTTTGATTTTTTTTTTTTTTTTTCTTGTGTTTTTTGCTTACCCATATGAGACTTTTAGGGTCTTTTTGTTTTGTGTTTTGAGATAAACTTTCAAAAAAGAATTTTGAGAGAGAGTTCAGAAATTTTTTTGGTTTGTTTAGTTGTATATTTTGATAATAATTTTAGCGTTAGGGATTTTGGGATGATTTTATATTTTGTTGTAATTGAGTAGATATGCGTGAGAAAAAAAGTGATTGAGAAGAAAAGAAAAGAGAGAAAAAGTGATTGATTAATGTGTAATAGAGAGAAGCAATTTCGGATTTTTTTTGAGAAAATTTGTAACCAAACATGTTTTTAGAAAATTTCTTCCAAAAACATGTTTCAAAACATAAACCAAACACACCCTTAATTTTTGGACCTGTGACCTGTCTATTAGAGTTTTGAGTTATTAGGATGATAGTTCTGTACAAATCAATATGCAAGCTCTGAGTTGTCATGAACTATGCACATACATACCCTTGTATGAATTTTGACTCTTTTTTTTTTAATTTGATTTTTTTAGAAACTTTTGTAGCTATGTGTTCTCTTGAATTTTGCACATATCAATTTGTGAATTTTGACTCTTTTTTTTAAAGCTAAATTTTCAAAAAATTTTGTAGTTCTGTCATCATGAACTTTGCACATACCCATTTGTGAATTTTGACCTCTTTTTTAATTTATTTTTTATTTATTTTTATTTTTATTTTTTGCAGCATTTATTTTTTATTTATTTTTATTTTTATTTTTTGCAGCTCAGCTAAGCTACTGTCAAGGATTTTTTTTATCATTGAAATGGTAAATCCCCCCCCCTCCCCCCAATTTGAATTGCATTATGGTTGTTATGGGTGATGCTATATTGTTGGAATTGCTGAAATTTAATTGAATAGCTGAATTTTATTTATTTATTTATTTTTTATGCTCATGCCAAAAGATAACTACATCAATGTTTTGTTTTAGTTCTTTACCAAATTTATAAATTTTTGAAAATGATCTCAGGTATGAGAAGTTTAGGTTCAACAAGTGGTACGCCAATGGAAGAAGATGATCATGCTCCTCTTTGGTGTTATGTTACAAAACTAGAAAAAATGGGAGAAGGAGGTGGTAATACCAAGTTTAAATGCAATTATTGTCAAAATGAGTACAAGGGGTCGTACTTTAGGGTCAAGGCACATTTGTTAAAACTTTCTAGCCATGGGATTAGAGTGTGCCCCAAAGTGACTTCGCATCACCTTGTTGAAATGCAAAAGAAAATTGAAGAAGCCAAGAAGAGGTTAAAGATGGCTATCCCTAAAAAAATTCCTTTATCACCTCCCACTTGCCAATCTACTTCAACAGGTTCAGGGCCTATAGATACTAGAGGATTTAGGATGGAGGGGTATGAGCCAAAAAAAGAAAGGTTACTGGAACTTCTGCTCTAGAAAAGGCATTCAACCCCGTTATTCGGAAACAATTGCATTCTGAGATTGCTCGCATGTTTTATTCAGCGGGGATACCTTTTCATTTATCAAGGAACCCATATTATGGCCTATTTTGGGAAGTGGGTTAAAAGCCCAGCTTTTAACCCACTTCCCTCTTTCACAAAAAAGCCAAAAAAAGTCAAAAAACAGCTTTTAACAATCTTCCCAAAATAACCTTATGTTAGTGCTTTTCAATTTGCTGCCAACAATCCAATTCCTAGTTATGTACCCCTGGTTATAACTTGTTAAGGACTACATTGCTTCAAAAGGAAAAGGCTAATGTAGAGAGGTTGTTGGAGCCAACTAGAGCATCATAGAAAGAAAAGGGGTTGAGTATTGTTTCAGATGGATGGACTAATTCTCAAAGAAGGCCCCTTATTAATTTTATGGGAGCATCAGAAGCTAGGGCAGTGTTCTTCAAAGCTGTTAATTGTGAAGGTGAGCACAAAGACTAGTTTTTTATTTCCAACTTAATTAGTCAAGCAATTGAAGAAGTTGGACATCAGAATGTCATTCAAGTCATTACAGATAACGCTCCTGTGTGTAGTGCAACTGGTTTACTCATTAAAAGTAAGTACCCGAATATCTTTTGGACACCATGTATAGTTCGCATACTAAATCTTGCTCTTAAGAATATTAGTACTCCAAAGGAAACAGAGGGTACTGCTTTTCCTTATGATGAATGTCACTAGATCACACTTTGTGTTGATGATGTTATGTTTATCAAAAACTTCATCATGAACCATTCTATGTGGCTAGCTATTTTCAATGAATTCGTACCCTTAAAGTTGCTTGTTGTTGCGGACACACGTTTTGCATCTGGCATTGTCATGCTCAAAAGGTTTAAACTTATAAAGCGTGGCCTCCAGTCAATGGTTATTAGTGATTAGTAGGTTTCTTACAAAGAAGACGATGTTGGAAAAGCAACATCTGTGAAAAAAAAAATTATTGAATGATGTGCGGTGGGATAAGATTGATTACGTTTTATCTTTTACATTGCCTATCTATGAGATGCTTAGATTTTGTGACACTGACAAACCATGCCTTCACTTAGTCTCTGAAATGTGGGACACCATGATTGAAAAGGTGAAGGCAAGCATCTTTATGCATGAAGGGAAGCTAGATTATGAGAATCAATCTTTTATGCCGTTGTGCACAATATACTAGTTGAGAGGTGTGCCAAAAGTAACACTCCTCTTCATTGCCTTGCACATTCTTTGAATCCAAGGTCATAACTTAATTCATACTCTTACTAATTAGATTTCTTTGTTGACATTTGTCTTTTAATATAAATAACATAATTTAATTTTGAAACTTTCTAATGTTGTAATCTAGGTATTATAGTTCAACGTGGCTCAATGAAAATCCCAATCGTGTCCCTCCTCATAGGGATGAAGAAATTTTTAGCGTGAGAAACAAGTGCTTCAAGAAATACTTTCCAAATTTAGAGGAGAGAAGGGTTGTAAATGTGAAATATGCCAAGTTTTCAGGAGGTCTGGATATGTTTGGAGATTTTGACTCAAAGATTGATAGAGGAATATTGGATCCACTTATTTGGTGGTTTACACATGGGTCTCCTGCTCCTATGCTTTAATCTTTAGCATTAAAATTACTTGGCCGGCCATGTTCCTCATCATGCTATAAAAGGAATTGAAGCACCTACTCCTTTATTCACTCCATGAAAAGAAACAAAATGACACAACATGCTGAAGATTTGATTTTTGTGCACAACAATCTTCGTCTCCTATCAAGGAGAAGTCGACAGCACATTGAATGAGGAACCAAGTTATGGGATGGTGGTGGAGATGCTTTTGATTCATTGGAGGGTGCAGCCTTACTTGAATTGCAAGTCTTTCTCTTGATGAACTAGATATGGAAGCTGTGATATTCACTAATGAAGGGGAACAAGTTGAAACTATTGATCTTGAAGACTCTTAACTTTATAGGAATCTTTTTTTTTTTTTTTTTTTTTATCAAATTGTCTTTTGCTTTAAGTTTTATTTTTATGCATGTTACATTACTAAAAATTGTAAAAATATTATTTTTTACGAACGTATCCCCCGTACCCGTATCCTAGTTTTTCAAATTTTGTCGTATCGCCGTATCCGTATCGTATCGTACTTGTATCCCATATCCGTGCTTCATAGGGTTCAACAGCTTTTGAACTAAATGTATAAATCACAAGCGCTCTCATAGTCACCATCAACTCATTAACTACTATACTAGTTTTGCATATCCATAAATGAACCTAAGGTTTACTGATCGTCGGCACAACAAGAGAGTCCCCGTTTAGTTTTGCCTGCACTAACGTGCATCTGTGTCTCTGAGTGTCTCTTGATTGTGACTCTGTGTGCGAATTATGTACACGCACTTGTGAGAGATAGAGAGAACCAACAATGAAATCGCAGCGACACCATGCCAACTTGAGTCCAACTGTAGGGAATAACAAACAGGACATAATATTTGATTTTAATGATATCATTAATTGTTATTCCACCAAAGGAGTTCAAGGCATGACAAAGTAGAAATATTGACTTCTGATTAAGGGCCCTACACACACGTGTGCATACCAAGTGTTGACTAACAAAACATGGTGAGAAGCAAAAGTTACCAACCTTGATAGTGATCAACTGTCAAACTGTGTGCCCATAAACCTGCAAAATCAAGGCATACAAGTTACTGTAAAAGAAACTAATATAATGTTTATCTATGGTAAAGTTTACCTGTGCTTAGAAAATTGAGAAATACCATATCTAACCTAGTCACTAATCAACACTCAAACAGTGTAAATGGAAATCAAACATATGCAATTATTATTATTATTATTATTATTATTATTATTATTATTATTATACAGAAGAAACCTTATACGACAACTATAAATTAGGACTCCATTTTTATCTTTTTATAATCTTTGCTTTATGCAAAGATGACTAGAAAACATGTATGAGAAGTGTGGGAAAAGATACAATCTTCATATTTTTAATCACCTTTCCTTCACCGGATTGATACAAAATACACGTAAGAAGCACTGCCACTCGTAATCACATATCATAATTCAGAAGTTATATGGCATCAGAATAATACCAAATTCAGTGGCCAATCAGCATAAATTTTTTTAAATGAATTTACAACTAATTTTTTTTTTTTTTTTTTTTTCAAGATAGAAATCTCCGGTATCAGCATAATAAAATTTCTTTGGTTGCTGTTAAAAAAAACTCCTGCAACCTTTTTCAAATTGCTGAAAAAGAATTTTGGGAATAATATTGAAACAGTCGATTCTAATCTGCGAATTTTCCAAAAAATAAAATAAAATAAAACAAAACAAAAAATGCCACTCAGTGGCCTACTGTGCTGTTTAGTGCATCAAGTTAGGACCAATAAGAGGACCAATGCATATAATTGATAGCAATTACTATTGTACCATAAACATTATTCAAATATTCGTCTTAAAAAATAAAACTTATCAACCATATATGGGAGATTTGAAGGTTCATAACATTGGAAACTTAGCATCAAACACAACACTGAGACCTTCTAACAAGTCACCATCAAAATGAGCATTATAGGGACATAAGCTTATCATTCACCAGTGTAGCCTTCTTCTTTTACTGGCAATGAAATGGCTTAATGCTGAAAAGAGAGGCAATTGAATAGCAAAGTGGTTTTTAAAGATAAACCCATAAAGCTCATCCTTTGCTTCCCTGAACCATGAGGCAAAGGTCCTTTATTTGGCCAAAACACAGCAAAATAAACATTTGAGTGACCAAAATAAGCTTAGAATTGATGGGACAAAAATATCTATGCATATCATTTCCGATTTTGTGTTTGTGAATATGCCTTAATTGCGTCCTTCAAAATAACATCCTTCACAAACCCACCAAAAAAGCTACCTTTTTGTATCAAGAATTCAATGAAACAACTGAAGATGAACAAAACAAGCAAAAAGAAGAGAAAAATATCTCTTCAATGTTTCAATTTCAGCACAAACATTGTAATGCCTAAAAAGAAATCGATGAATCAAGAAAAACACGGGAATCGAAAAATAGAAAGAGAATTGGAGAAGTGACCGTGAGAAATACTGGAGTGAGAATCGGATCTACAATAACCGCAAGAGCTTCTACGACGCCCAACATCAACAACAGAGCTTTCGCCTCTGTTGGTTCCGCTGCTACTGCTGCTGCTGCTAGCCTCGCTTCTGTTCTTCTTGTCCGCCATTATCGATCTTCCCCTCCTTTCAATTCTTCAACTCCATCTCAGAATTTAGGGTTTTAGCACACCCAACCCAACACATCCACTCCTCCAAACATAGACCGCAATGGCCCAATCCCCTCTCTCTCTCTCTCTCTCTCTCTCTCTACGAATCTACTCTCTCTCTCTCTTTCTTCTCTCTCTGTGGAACGCTGGTGCAGGCTGCGAATATATAATTAATCGCGATTAGTAGGCAGATGGAACTGTACAAAATTTAAAACCCACTTGCTAATCTACTACCAACCCAATTGTATGTTAAGAAGGTATATTATCTTTTATTAATCTTAATGTCAAATCAAGGTATACTCCCTCCGTCCCAAAATAATGGTCCCTTTTGGGGAATCCAACTTTTTTTGGTAGTACAATTATTGTACTTTTAAAAAGTTGGTTTTCCAAAATTACCCTTTGATAGTACACTTTTTGAGAATATCAATGTCATAATTGTACTTTTTATATTATTTATGAATTTAAAAGAAGGGTAAAATGGGAAATTTATATTATTTTGTACTTGATTTTTGAAGAGGGACTAATATTTTGGGACAATGAAAAATGGAATAAGGGACTAATATTATGGGACGGAGGGAGTATTATCTTTTATTAATCTTAATGTCAAATCAATCACAATACTAAAAAATATACTCCCTCCGTCCCAAAATATTAGTCCCTTATTCCATTTTTCATTGTCCCAAAATATTAGTCCCTCTTCAAAAATCAAGTACAAAAATAATATAAATTTCCTATTTTGCCCTTCTTTTAAATTAATAAACAATATAAAAAAGACAATTATGACATTGATATTCTCAAAAAATGTACTATCAAAAGGATAATTTTGGAAAATCAACTTTTTTCAAATGCAATAATTGTACTACCAAAAAAAGTTGGATTCCCCAAAAGGGACCATTATTTTGGGACGGAGGGAGTATCATATACCATAATGTATATATTATCCACATGTAAAAATTAGTCAGTGGTAAAATTAGGCTAAGTTTAACGTACACAAAATAATTTATCTTTTTATTGTTTTTCATCACATTATCTTTTTATTTTTTTACACATATTTTCGTAAAATGACAAAAAAATATACTTATTTAGGTCATTCCAAACAACCTCTTTGTCTTATGTCAGACAATTCGCCATTCAAATAATAACACATATATATTTAGTAGAATGAACTTTTTAAATATGAACGAATATAAATTTACCATTATATAATTAATGACACCTCGACTCATTAAGATCTAACTCATAAGTTAATAATACCAATCCAATAACTTTGGTTAAAAAAGCATAAATAAATAAAAATAAAACATGATGATATACAAAATATGGACAGATAAAAGTTCACATGGTTTATCAGTCAAATTTATATTAGGAAAAAACAAAAAACAAAAAACAAAATAAAATTTGTGTTTATGCCCGGGCTAATCTGACATCAAACTTGCAAGGTTATGCTAGAACAAGGAACAAAAAATTTTGTGTGTATGGCCCTTCTAAGTCGATTATAAATTTCATTACAAATCCGGCCTTACAAATAATATTACAGGCCTTGTTTAGTTTGTATTTGAGAAACATGTTTTGAGATAAAAAGTACGAAAATTTGTTTAGTTTAGTTTTTTTTCAAAAGATGTTTTGAAAAATTATTTTGAGAGAGAGTTTCAGAAAAAGTAATTGATTTGATGTGTATAAGAGAGAAATTTGTTTGAAAAATTTGTAAACCAAACAAGTTTTGAAAAAAAAAATTTAGAAAAATTTGTTTGGTTTGATTACTTTTGAAAATTTATTTGTAGAGAATTTTTTCTAAAATTTTTTGAGAAACACAAACCAAACAAAGCCACAATTCTTTGTACATTTAACAAGTTATTCTTATTTTTAAAGATGAAACAAGTTATTCTAAATTGGACATTCTTATTACAATTTTGTGTATATCCGATAAGTTATTCTTCGAATTCTTTGAAATGTGGGTTGGTGTTTTAATTTTTTAGCTTTTTACCTATTTTAATTTGGGATTAAAAAATCTCGTTTGAAATAAATTTTTTGAATTTTTTGATTTTTGTAAGAAAAAAAATAATTATAAGTTGCATGTGACATTTTGTTATATTTGATTAAAATAACTTATTTTGTCTTATATGATTGTTTTAATCCAAACACCCATCTCAAACGGGGCTTTATTCAACTAACTTCACCTTAGAATATCATTTATGAAATATCAACATAATTATACTACACTAAACCTCAAAAAAAGGATAAAAAAAAAAATTATAATAGAAAAGTTATAACCAATCTCTTTCTCTACCGACTTACCAATTGAGGGAGTAAAGAAGAAACCGACTTAAAGCCAAGCTTGGCAGTATCAAAATAATCTATCTTTTTATTTTTTTATATTTTTTTCATCACATCACCTTTCTACTTTTCTGCACATCTTTTCGTAAAAAGATAAAAAGTACACATCTTGTCTTTAGGATGACCTAAATAAGTGTATTTTTTATCTTTTTACGAAAAGATGTGTAGAAAAATAGAGAGGTGATATAATAAAAAAAATAAAAAGATAGATTGTTTTAGTGTTGCCAAACTTGACCTAAATCAAGTTGACTAGACTTGTTTTCTTTCCTTTGTGTGTGTGTGTGTGTGTGTGTGTGTTACGATCCCTAGATATTATTATTATTTCCCAGAAAGCAAGTTATTTGTCCTCATTTATCCAGATTCAACTGGTCATGGGCAAAGAAGGGCTAGGGGGTCAGTTTTGATTTTTTTTGTTTTTGTTTTTGGGTGTTATTGTCCTATATAAAATGTTTTTTTTTTTTCTGAACATATTATTTAGTTAAGGGTTATTGTATTGTTTATAACAAGTAGTCATTTGATATTTTGGGAGCAGTATGTGATATTATTTATATAATAGTTTAAACCAATAGTGTAGTGAAAAATCTTATAAATTAGATATAATGAACTCATTATTTTCAGGTAATTGACATGTCACTTAGTGTGATTTATAATATCTCATGCTTTGAGTATCACATAAGTAACGTCATATAGTACTCTAAAACTAGTTAATAATTTAAACAATGTTATCTCTTTAATATTTTTTGTCAAATCAAATTAAATAGATTTTATAATAATTTGTGTTATAAATGATATATTCTTATTTTCTAAAATTAGAAATTTTGATTCATAATTTTTTGTGCTAGAACTACAAACTTGCATCACCATCCTACATCGAATTATTTCATACTACTATAAAATTTTGATTTGCTCCTATTAATAATGAATGTGTAATTTTTTATACTTAAATTTAACTCATAAAATTATTATTATCTTAATATTGATCATGATTAATTTTTTAAGATAAAAAAAAATTATAATTAATAAACACTCTCTCAAACTTAATTTCCTACTCCACTACTCCAACTTATCCTTATTTATATATCTAAATAAAGGCCTAACACACATTCAAAGGTTGCAATTGATGTTTTTGATTAGGAGCAGGTTTGAGGGCTTTAAATATTTTCAGGCTTTTTTTATAATTCGTAATTAAATAACTAGGTAGCTTTTGCAGCTTATTTCCAATCTAGGCTCATGCGTAGTTACAATCCATACTTTCTCGAAAATGTGTTTACAATTCACACTTTATAATTATATTTTTTTTAAATATATACTTTATTTAGAAATATGTCATGTATGAGCACGAAATAATCGTCACTTATATAATACTATTGATCAACTTCACGTTCCTCCAAAGTCATCATATGACCTGAACTCACAAACGTGAGCTGGCCGGCATTTGGCCATTGATGTCGAAAATAGGTAAATCTTCATTGTTTGCCATTAAAATCGTCAAAGAAAGCTTGATCAAAATGTTTGTTTTGTGCCTTATTCCCATAAACGGCACCAATTGTACGAGTACGAAATAATCATTGCTTCCATAATCTTGTTGATCAAACCCGCATTTCTCCAAATGTTACTGTATGACTTGAAATCACAAACGTGAGCTAACCAACAAGTGTGTGCCGGAAACCCCTCTGATACCTAAGTTAATAAATAGGACAAACAAAGAGGAAAATCTCTATGAATTCAAATACTAAAATTGCAATACTTGGAATTAGGTTAGGCTTGAGTTTTTATAAGTTTCGCATGGCAGAATCCTAATATGACTTTAATTCCTCTTCGTAGAGTCCTCTTTGGAATCATATTCGTAAAGGATAACGCCTATTCTTTTACACCCGCCTCACTACAAACCAAATGAGATGACACAACTCTTAGCGTGACTTTCAATCGAGCATACTATTTTAGCCTTGTTGGTTCTTCGAGACAACCGAGCAATGCGTAGCGCTGCGCTAACCTAGTAGGGTGTGATGCCATGCTAATACTGCGTGGCACTCCAGATAACCCAGTTAACACCACGGGCCCAACTGCACTTGACCGGTCTTCTTATGATAGTCCGGTCCAATCCACCCTTTAGGGTACCACTGGAGGACAACCGCACTAGTCCAACCTCAGCCCAAATCGTAAGTCCACTGAAGCGTAGCTCGGTCCATGCACATTATGGACCTAGTTTTCCCAGTCAAACCAAACAACATCTTTGACCGGTTCAAACTCTACAAGGCCCAAACCATGCAATCTTCCAATCCATAGCTCGGCCAACAACAAAGGCTTGATTTAGCCCCGCCTAGATATCTCGACACAAATTCTCCTCTCATGTCATATTTCCAATATTACTGTGATAAAAGCATAGATATAATCACGTTTTTTTTGTTCTATATAGCCGTAAGACACATCACCATTTTTGTAAATTCCATTTCTGGGTTTGAAGTACCCCCTCCTTCCTTATTCTTCTTCATCTTTCCTTATATGGGCTCTTTGCTCCCTCACTCTCTCACTCACTCTCAATCCCACACCCATACCCTCAACCCTTTAGTTTGTCCTCTCTAGTGACATTGTCTCTCACCCATCCACACTCTTAGTCTCACACTTAGTCTAAAACAAAGAACTGACCTACTTGCAATCTTACTCTCAATCTCTATCTCACATCTCACGCTTAGTCTCAATCTCATTCTTCTTTCTTTCTTTGGCAATAGTGTGCTCAGAGGAGGTACTTCATTTTTTATTTTTATTTTTTGTTAATTTTTAAAGAAATCATGTAATTGATTTGAGCGTATGTGAGGAG